ATGCTGCACACGCTAGATATCCCCCTCTCCTTGGTGGATATGCAATGGTTCGGCCCGGGGGGAGAATGATATGCTGCACACGCTAGATATCCCCCAGGGCCTCTCCTTGGTGGATATGCAATGGTTCGGGGGAGAACGATATGCTGCACACGCTAGATATCCCCCTCTCCTTGGTGAATATGCAATGGTTTGGGGGAGAACGATGCTGCGCACGCCGCTAGATATCCCTCTCTCCTTGGTGAATATGCAATGCTTCAGGAGAGAATGATGCTGTAGACGCTAGTCGTCTAGTTGCATCCTATTCCCAAATCAAATCTTCATATTACTTGTTATTCACATAATAATATGATAATATTCAGTACAGCTATTCAGGATGCCAGGTCTCCCAGAACAAGCAGGTGCCCTGTAGTAGGGTGAAGAGGCCATCCACTCACCCGGACCCAGTCTTACGTCTGCACAGTCAATCACCTGAGGTTCGTGGGGCAATCAATGCTGGCAGAAATCTGGTCTGACAACATAAAATCCTAATGGACACTGAACCCGGTTTCCAGCAGGTGCAGCTCCCCAGCAATAGATTCCAGCAACAAGAAAGGCTGCTGGGAAGGGCTGCTCCTATCACCCCCCCTAGCATCGGTCCTGGTTTCCAATTAAAAAAAAGGTAAATTTCAAATTTTGCGTTATACCACTCAAAGTTGAGATATATGCCAAAATGCCCCTAAAAGATGTGGGTAGAGCGGAATGCCCTCCTGGCCTGAATTCTTTGTGATATGCCCCCGTCAAGCCGGGGGGCAAGTTTGCAATCTACACCTCTCCGTTGGGGCCTGCCTGCACCCTGTTTTACCCAGTTTGCCTTGCCTATACCTTTGTTTTTTTTAGGGCTTGGCTATTCTGCAAAAAAAACGTTGTCCGCCGTGTAGGCAGCGAAAACCAGGTAAAACAGAGTGCAGGCCCAGGCCCCAACGGAGAGGGGTAGATTGCGAGACATAAAGGCAGAGCAATCTGAATCGGAGATGGACTCTAAATTCAAATTTTCATGCTGGGTTCGCAAGCTCCGTCCTGGTAGTTCCTCCATCTCCGACCTCGACCTCCTCCTCCCTCGCCATTCCTCCAAGGTCTCCTCCCTCTGTATGTGTGTGTGTGTGTGTGAGAGAGAGAGAGAGAGAGGGAGGGAGAGAGAGAAAGAGCAACAGCCATGGGCCTCACTCCACTACTCACAAGAAAAATATGGTGGCGTATCTTTCCAATGTTTAGCAGAAGATCCCTTCTCATTTTGCTCATTTGGTGTTCACCTCTCTCTCTCTCTCTCTCTCTCTCTCACACACACACACACACACACACACACACACACACACACACACACACACACAGGGAGGAGACCTTGAAGGAATGGTGAGCTAGGAGGAGATCGACGTCGGAGATGGAAGAATTGGGCCCAACGGTCAGGGGGGTGTACTGAAAAGATGATATAGGCCGGTAAGGGTAAAATGGAAATTAATTGGCCCCTTCGAAAGTTGGCACGTTCAGGGTTATTTTGAAAAGATGGACCGGTACATGGTATATGGTCCGTCCAACTGACGTGAGGGGCATTTTGCAAAGAACTTCAATTGTCAGAAGGGTATCTTGCAGGCTACCTTGACTCTTCAATGACGAACCACCTGAAGCTGCCGTGTTTGTCATTTATTGGACTCTTGCCACACAAGGTGCAGAAGCAAATCGCCGAATTCTCCTTCGGTATAATAAAACGAGGCAGTTTCTTCAAAATAAAAAAAATCGCCGAATTCTGAATCACCTTGCTTGCACGCAGAGGTCACCCTGACCTTTGAAAACCGGCCGCTGTCACATCGCAAAAAAAAAGGGTGGCAGCACGAGGCAAAGCACGAGCTTCGACAGATTAGGGCCGGGGAATCATCCGCACTGGGACAACGAGGCTGGGATCCGTTGGGGTCTTCGGCACCAGAGAGCGCATCAGAAAAAGGCTGGCGAGGTGGGGACCAGGCGAATCACAAGCTGCGACGGTTTCGGATTTCTTAGGGCCGGGGGAAAGTCGACATTGGGAAAAAGAGGCCGGGGACCACAGGAGTGCGCATCAAAAGGCTGGCGGCACCACTACCGTCTTCACCTGAATAGAAAGCCCGGTCATTATAGCTGTATTTGGTTCAGTCCGGATACAGCTGCAATGACCGGACGTTCCATTCGGGTGAAGACGGTAGGCAAATCAAGCGCTGCAACGTTTTTTTGGATTTTTTGGATTTCCTACGTCTGGGGAAAACTCCACATTGGGAAAAAAAGACTCAGCGCCACAGCGACTTGACCACCACCCGGGGGCCAGGACCCACTTACGCTGATCCTTGATTTCTGGTCGTTGATCTTCCAAATCTACAGTCAGAAATCCATTATTCGGGTAAGTGGGTCTTGGCCCCGGCTGTGCAGCTATTACTCACTCAGATCTGCAGAGCCGCAGCAATGAGTTTAGCAAGACTCAAAATCTCAAATGGTTGCCGTCCTTGGACCTGATTGACTGTTTGCGCGCAGGAGTCCGTAATCCAGAAGTGCGCAAATCCACCGCCATCTGTGTCATCTGACGACAAAAACATGCCACACGGCAACGATTCAGGCAGGCAAGCGTTAGCGAGCGACCTTCCAACTCTACTCTCTTCACCCGAATAGAACGCCCGGTAATTATATCTGTATTTGGTACAACAGTCAGTCCAGATAGGGCGATAATTATGGGGTGCTCTCTATTCGAGGGTGAAGGCGGTAGTGTGGGTACTAAGTTTTTTGACAGATGCCGCAGCACTAAACCAAAGAAAGAAAGAAAGAAAGAAAGAAAAAGGTCATCATCAACACTGTGAAACACTGAAAAGCCAGCAGCCTTTTTTTTTTTTTTTTTTTTTTTTTTTAGCCAGCAGCTTTAAACCTGCAGGTTGCATGGGAAAAAGCTTGACTTTCTTTATTGAAGGATTTTTTTATTTTATTTTTTTTATTTTTTTTTTAAACAAAACTGAATGAATTAACGAATGAACAAGAACCAATGTCCGAAAGATCCCCTTACGGCTTTCCAGAACAATCTCCTCCTTGTGGTCCCCCCCGTGTCTCCTCTCCTCACCACCTTGCTGAGCTGGTAGCTACGACGGATCATCCTCGCCATCCACGGATGACGGATGTCAACCGCTGATAGGGTTTCCCTTCTTTTATCCCTTTGAAAGCGTAAACCACCCGCGCAAGGCCCTTTTCACGTGCAGACGGCAGCAGACCCCAAAATTCGAATTTCAGCGTCAAGGTCCTCAAGTCAAAAGAGGCGTACAGCAGGTCGAAACCGAAAAGACGTTGAGTCGGGTACCAGAGGTAAAGTCCAGTCAGTACTCGAAGTTAAATAAGGCCCACAGTCAAAATTGCAGCAGCGCATCAAGAAGTGTCTGGAAGGTACCAGGCCTTGCGGGTGACCGGTACCGCCACGAGGCCCGGTACCAGTCAAAGTCAGACCCATAACCGGTCAAGCGGAGGCCGGACAAAGCAAAGGCCCAGTCCAAGTCAGTAAGAAGACTGGCCCTGTTGCGTCATTCAGACAGATTGCTCACTCGTGAGAAGGTGGAAGTGCTGTTGGTGCTTGTGCGATTTGCGTGAGTGCCCGAGTGCTAACGAATAGATTGGAGCCTTGTGAAACGGTATTCACCAGTTAGTAGCGAATGCAGATCCCAGGGCTCGATCCCTAGTTCCCCGTCTTACCTGTGTACAGTACCAGTGTCAACCCGTAGATTTGAACCTGCGACCTGTAGGACCGCCAGTGGTAGGTAGGTTTTCGTAGGTCACAGGGTAGAAGGGAATCGAACTGTAGACCTGTAGGGTAGGAGTCTAGACAGTTCCGAAGTCGTAGTTGTAGGATGTCTGAAGGGTCAAG